AGACAGACAGACAGACACACACACGCCTAAAAAGGTAAGTTCGGTGTTATTGTTCACATGATCTGTGGTGTCTCTGCATCAGAAGGCAGCAGCTGGACAGTTTTCACCAAATGTATCGAAACCTCGGACAAGACATGAACTGCCTGAAGAATCAGTCTTGTCTGATTGATATAGCAGCCTGAATAATGCTGTTCCTTTGGGTGCGTAATGATAGACTATACCATAGTTGCTATACTATACTCCAAAACCCTATTCTAATTATTGAGTCCCCTATACAACAACCACTAATCATGATAGAGCCGTGTTTTTCTCCTTTTTCAAGGGACCTTGTTGAAGGAGCCAGATGTAAGTCATTATGTGGGTAGTTCTCTAAATTAGGATCCATTCTTGGGTCCCCAATATAGTACGGCACCCTTATAACAAGGATCCTAAGAGGGACCCTAATTTCGACAACTACCCATGTTGCAAGCCAGTGAACCGACTCCAGCCTCACTTAAGGCCCGGGCATCCACTTCGACAGGAACGGCGGCACCCTGGCAAAGAGGAGGAACTTGAAACGGGGTTTAGGGTTTAGGGTTTAACGTCAGTGTTGCAATTCAGCATGGACCCAAAACCTCACCCCTCTCTGCCCACGTTTGGGCAAGTAGTGTCTACAGTCTACGTTCTATCTGCGCATGGGCTGGGAGCATGTTGGTTGGACCCTTGCGGCCGCAGAGTCTGACTGTGCTCAGCTCGTGTCTGCTTCGGCTGCTTGGAGGTTCATGGGTAGTTATAAGTGGAGTTATAAGTAAGCTAACTATAATCATAGCCCATATTAGGGGACTTATAACCCTACTTAACGTCCAAGTGACCTGAACCCAGGGCAGACGATTGAAGTGGCCAAACATCGCACCGAAGAGCTGACCTGCGAAGGACGCCGCGGTTTAAGGGTTTAGGGTTTAGGATGTAGGGTGTAGATACAGGGTTTTGAAAGAGCTTGAGGGCCCCTTGCGCGCGACCGGGTTCAGACGGCCACCGGAAGTACGGTTTCCAGCCAAGAGTTTCTGAACCCCAGGCAAAATTGCTAATTGCACGAGTAGGCTCAACATCGAACACAGAACTGCTGCTTGCATCAATGACAAACTTGTCACTCAAACACAAAAACATGAGCTGCACTAACAATGTGGGCAGAGTGAGCGGGCCCTTGCACATGGGTGGTTGTCAAAATTGTGGTCCCTTTTTGGGTCCTTATTATAATACGGCACCTATTATTTAGGGTACCCAAAAGGGGACCATATCTTGACAAGTACTCACATGGCACACAACCTTGACTATGCCAGCGTCTAGCGGCGAGTCTAGCGCCACATTCTGGCAATTTTGCTTCAAGTCGTCGCGCATGGAAGCGTCGGAAAGGAAGTCTCATCTCTGCACAGCCGCACCAATGCGGCTCTTGGGTCCATGCCATGCAGAAAATGTCCAGCATCTTGGGCGACCAAGGCAGAACGAGCAGAATTTTGAACGCTATCCGGCCTGTTCGCAGATCGTGGTCAAATATTCGCCCCAAACACGCAGTATGTTTTCAGCGGCAGTGACAACACACATGCCATCTTTGGCCTGAGCATGCAGTGGAACGTCGTCATTCTCAAAAAAGCAGTCCACAACCTTCCACCCTTCGCAGAAGCTCATTGAGTCGATGGTGAAATGAGTGTCAACATAGATCATGTTGCGAGTGCTTTTGATTGGATACTCTGTCGAAGGCCAGCAATACAACTGTAGTGGTATTTGAGGCAATGTCCGGATGCAGTCGGTGTTTTCCCGCTTGCACCGAATCACGCAGGATCCAGCTGAAGGAAAGACCGACACATAACTCCTCGCCTCATACGGCATCATATTGCAAGCAGCTACTTGCCAGCCGGGGTCACAGTGCAACATCACAGCATTTTGGCCAGGTCGCCATTGTACATCTCTTGCCACTTTCAGCTTCTTGCGCGGCATCGGTCTTGGAGTCGTAGAAGGGAGCCCAGGTGTGGATGTTGTGGATGTTGAAGTTGTCGTGGTGTTGAACTGCTGTGCCCACGGCTCGTACTGGGATTCCAACAGATCCTTCACTTGCGGGTGGATCCCACCCCACTCCCAAATAGGAAAGCAATGATCCACGTGGCGGTCAATCACCTGTCGTCAGATAAGTTACACACAACCAAGCGAAACATGCCAACGCTTTTGTTCGCAGTGGAATGGCCACTCAAGTCTTGCGGCTAAGTCCACCCCACAACCCAAATCGAACGTCGAACCGACTGTTTCCCCGGACATGCCTTCCAATTCGAATTGGTGGACTCGTCCAGGCTTCGGCGCCAGTTGGCAGGCGAACACCCAGACGAGCCACCCTTCCACGTATGCGCGACCGCCACCTGAACCAAGCGCTCGCGCCCGAAGTCTAGGCAAGACCGTAAGGACACATGCATCATGTTGCTACCCAGAGACTCCAATATCCCTTAATTAAGGAATATACCTTAAATCATATTAAGGATCCTACTATAATTGAAGGAATATTCCTTAAGTAAGGAATATTGGAGTGTTCCGTTTTTCAATCGAGCTCCTGGGCCAATCCGCAACTTAAGTCAAGGACTGGTTGCCATGTGGGTAATTCTCTAAATTAGGGTCACCTTTAGAATCCTTTTTATAAGAGCGCCGTACTATTTTGGGGACCCAAAAAGGGACCCTAATTTAGAGAACTGCTCATGTGTTCAGTCTTTGTTGACGACCTGGACATACCCTAGAACAAGCATGGATAGAGTCGGATAGAGTCCAGGAATATGCTTGGCTTCAACACCCAAGTCTGCGCCAATCGCTACATGCAAGCAAAGAGACAGACATCATATCGCAACAGCTGTTGACAGGAAACCTTCCTGCCTGTGAGTCCTCGAGCGCAGTTTGATTCACGTGGCGAAGGCCTATAGAAGAGCTCTTTTGGCTGTGATCGCCTGACGATGCTCCCCAGGATGATGCTGCATGCACGTCGACTGAAAATCCTGTTCCACCCCCTCCTCCTCCTTCAGAAACCTGGGCTTTGAAGTAACCAGGGAGAAAAAAGTGTAGACTTGTATTTCATAATGGTTCTTTTAAGGAACAAGTCCCCAAAAAAGTATTAAAGTATGGTACTCCAAAGCCCAGAAACTGAACTCTGCTGAGCTTGGGAATGGCTTTGCTCAATAGCCTCCGAGGCGATGTTGCTGACGTCAATACGGGATTGGTATTTAGTGCTCTGATAGCTAGCCGTGATGCGCCACCATCCTCCCAGCAAAACTTCCGGGCCCTAAACCCTAAACCCTGAACCCTAAACCCTGAACCCTAAACCCTAAACCCTAAACCCCCGCCATCCTCCCAGCAAAACTTGCGGGCACACATGATCTCCGAAACGATCAAACAGCTGCCAGGCGAGCCCGTAAGCCTCCGCCCCGGCAGTGCCATGCGATTTGAGAGCTCCTGGTTCATGGTTGGGGTAGTATTAAAAATTTAAATTTATATTCCTTATTGGGTTTAAGTACCCTTAAAAATGTAATATGTTACACAACTATGACAAAGGCTCTGGTGATATTGCTCAGAGCATCTTCGAAAGAAGATGAGAGGTCCAGCATGTCACGCTGGATCAAAACGTGGAGCCTCGGTTCCAAGTAGAATGTCGACTTGTAGAGGCTCCGCGTTGTCCTTGCAAAGTCCAGAGAGGCCATCTTTGGAGGGAGTATATAGGGTTTAGGGTCTAGGGTGCAACGCAACAGGACCGTGACACAACAAAAACACGGTGTGGACTTGTCAGTGCGGGCGTCTCGCTCAGCTTTCGCATTTTCTTGGCCTCCGCCTCCTTCGCAGTCCCGCCCGATTGACCTTTCCGATCTTGGTGGCCACCACCTGGGCTTTGAAGTAACCAAGGAGCAAAAAGTATAGACTTTTATTTCATAATGGTTCCTTTAAGGACCCAGGTCCCCCCAAAAAAGTATGAAAGTATGGTACTTCCTGAAAGCCCAGGCACTGGCTCGACCGTGCGCAAAGATGCTTCGGGCTTCCACGCCCACTTCGAGCCCGAAGTTGCTGCTGCTTGAAGAAAAGGCCTTGCGTTTAATGGGTTTAGGGTTTAGGGTTTAATGGCTTTGGGTTTAGGGTTTAGGGGTTAGGGTTTAGGGTTTACTTGGAGGTTCATGGGTAGTTCAAAGTGGAGTTATAAGTAAGCTAACTGTAATTATAACCCATATTAGGGGACTTATAACCCTACTTATAACTACCCATGAACCTCCAAGTAGGTTCCCCAGTAGGCCCCTAACAAAAAGGGCACCCTTTTTCCTACTACTTGCTTTTATTAAGGGACCCCAAAAACCAAAAGGGCAAAAGGGTGCTACTGGGGGACCTAGAGGCGCTAGATCCAACATTGGCAAAGATGGCATTTGCAGCCTCGATGTCGGCAGCCGTGTCCTAAAAACATGGGAAAGGCAGCCCTTGGCACGTTCTTAAGTCACAGCTTCTTCGGGAAGAGCTTCTCTAGAAGAAGCTGGCCTTCATATGAACCCTAACATATTGGGGTCATGGGGCCAGGGTTTCTTAATCAGGCTCCAAATTTAAGCAGCACGTCCAGCCTCCTCAATGGAAACCTGCTGCGAAGTGAGATCTGGGGAAACTGCGATGGCTGCCACCAGCTGGTCCTCGTCTTTTTCTTTGTAGCCGGTGTAAGCAGGCTTTAATTGCGCGACAAGGTCGTAGGCCTCAAACGATTGGTCTGGTCCGGCTGCACGGGCAAAGCTCACACCCCGCATCACGCCCAGCTCTTCAATCAGCAAGTTCAAGGGGATGTGCTTTCCACCAATCTTGTCCATGTCAGAGACTTTCATCATACCATCGAGTTTGGAAGATTCCTCAGTTGTGTCAAGGTCCGCGCCTTCCACTTGGATCTGATCCAAGTACTCCTTTGCTTGCTTCATCTTCTCCGCAGCTGCTTTCTTTAACCACTCGCTGCCGGAGTGGGCTGCAGTTTTCATCGCTTCCATCGCTCTAGTGATTGCGGTTTGCCCCTTCTCCAGCTTGTCCTGTCAGAGTAGGTCGTGTGAGCTCCATAAAGACCTTTGCCACACGTGCGAGAGAACTACACGAGACCACGCGAAAACACAAGAAGGGCCATGCTCACTCCATGAACCTGATCTTCTAGGTTCCCCAGTAGGCCCCTAACGGCACCCTTTTTCCTACTACTTGGTTTTATTGAGGAACCCACCACAAACCAAAAGGGCAAAAGGGTACTACTGGGGGACCTAGCTCCATAAGCACTCCTTAAGGTTTAGGGTTTAGGGGTTAGGGTTTAGGGTTTAGGGTTACCAAAAACATGGAACTACAATGGAGACTACAGGTAGGTTTTAACTACTTAGCGTAGTTACCGTATTTATAACCTAGCTCCATAAGCCCAACCCAGCAAGCCCAATACCCCTTAATTAAGGAATATACCCTTAAATTATAAGGGCCTTAATATTAGGATTTAAGGTATATCCCTTAGTTAAGGGGTATTGGGCTCTCTGGGAACCCTAAAACCCTAAACCCCTAAACCCTGAACCCAAAACCCCAAAGTCCTATGATCCTCCAAGTAAGCCTGATCTTATTCTCGGCTCTGCTCCTCCACAGGTCCTTCTTCAACTCCTAAGCCTAACCCAGACAGTATATTCCTTAGTTAAGGGGTAATGGGCTCTCTCCCTAAACCCTAAACCCCTAAACCCCGAACCCCTAAACCCTAAACCCCTAAGCCCCTAAACCCCTCAACCCTAAATCGGACGGAGGGTCCGGGTTTTGGGCTCAGTTGTCAGGAAGCGGAAAGA